AAATGGTCGCCTACCTGTTCCCTTTTTGCAGGTGAAGGTCAGGTGATAATTGCAGGGCACATCGTTCCATTGTCCGCCTTCATGCCATATCATCACCACACAGTCCTCTCCAGACTGGAAGAAGCTGTCTGGCTGGTTTGGCCTCCAGTTATCATATTGCTGCAAAAAGAAATCATAAATAATAATTAAAAAAAAATGAACTCTGAACTCTTCTACTAAAGTTATTTGCTTTTTAAAGCAAAATATAGAATATATCACAGACCTCGATAGACCGTTTAAATGATTCACCTTTTTTATCGCGACATGTTTAGACTAAAAACAATCCTAATGTATCTCTTGGTATTATAACAGGCAAAGATAAAAGGAGACACTAAAGAAACGGTTTACTATACACTGGAAAAAAAATCTAAATCTAGATAAGTCATTATTTCATAAAATAAGTGCATTTGTTCTTGAATTTAAAAGGTAAAAGACATATTTTGCCAATGGAACAAGACAATTTACATTTAAAATAAGCAAACACAATTACATTGTCTTATTTCAAGTGGATTTTATCAAAATACCTTATTCTAAGAGTAAAATACTCATTCAATTGGCAAATAATCTCATTTACCTTCTCAAATTAAGGGTAAATTCATTTAATTTGAGAAATTTTTACTTTCATCTATACACTAATAGTGTATAGATGAAACAAACACACATTATGAAGCATTAGCACCATACAACACTTTGGGTAAATAAATTAAGGAAAAGACGTTCCATGACTTATTTTCCAACTCTGAGTCATTTCAAGCTTATTTTTGGAGAAACTGTTGAAAAAAAAAAAAGAAATGCAGCTTCTGCAACTCTAAAGTTTTTCCTTATTCTGTCATAATGCTTTTTCCATGTTTTTATAGTGATAAAACACTGAGGGAGGAGGGGAAATAAAATGTAGACTTAGGGTTCATAAAGGAAAACAGTCAGTTGATTGATCCTCTGACATCATCTTCTCCAACATCTGCACAATCACATTAAATAAAGCTGCAAACTGGAGGCTGCCTTCTTAAAGCTGTCTTTATTTCCCTCACCAGTGACTGGATGTAATTCACAGAGAAACCACGTGGTTGTGCTGGTGAGCTGCCAAAAGAACAAGACTGGATGAACTAAAACCATATGCAGTACATTGTAAATATCCAAGCATAAGGGTTCCTGTAGTTTGTTTTAGATTGTGTTGTGACTGTGTTTACTCCCAGCAGCAGGAACAGAAAGAGAAGCAGCAGGTTTAAAATGTCTTTCCATATATTGTGCAAAGCTGCCATAAAACAATTGCATCAAATTTCAGGTTTTGTTTTTGCTGTGATCATATAATCTGGCTCACCTTTATGGAGTTAACTTTGTTCCATTATATTTGTAAGCAAAGAACATGTTTTATAAAATGAAATTAGACAAGAATATATATATAAAAACTAGACTAGCATTAATCCTTTTTGGTTAGTTTTGTCACTCTCAAAATATTCTTAGGTTACAAAGTTTTTGAAAGGTTTTTTTTTTTTTTTTGCACTTTACTGTCAACAATAATGGATGGAACAAATTCACCAGATACACTTATCTGGTGAATTTGTTCCTGGAAACAGCTGAGGGCTCCCAGCGCACACACAGCAGTAGCAACACATGTGCGAGCTCCTCTGACATTTTCAGCTGGATTCGGGTTACTGTGACTCATGCATCACGGTGCGGTTAGGTCATCTGTGTACCTAATATTTTACAGTAACTCAGCAGGAGAACATTTTCTCTCTGTGGTAAAGGGAAAACAAAGTTGCAGGTTAACGTTAAAAAGCGTCACAGTGGCGCTGTGTGCATCATATGCAAAGGTCTGAATGACGTCTGTTTCACAGCATGGTTAATGTGCTCATCATTGTATTTAAAAAACTGAGGAAGCTTACTTGAGTTTTAGAGAAAAAGGAAATTATTCTTTTTTAACTCTTAGAATGTATTTCTTTTGTTTTAATTCATTGATTCCAAAGTCTAATTTTCTTAGAGGTCATTACAACAAAACCTTATATTGATTTTATGCCCATTTTATAATTAGAGTTGTAGTTCTTCTCCAACAGTTTTTTCTTTTCAAACTTATTTGGTAGATTTAACATGATCTCATCACATGTGAATAAATATCCCTGCTCACCTGTGTGCACCTTTCAGATCAGGTGAGCAGGAAATGTTGTGTTTTCTAATGTTTATCTAAACCATAACTCTATTTTCTATGAAAACAATGGGATCCCAAAATTGAAAAGATTGGAAAACATCCTGCTCTCTGTTGCTGATAAAGGAACTAGAAGAGCTATGAAATTAATCAGGGATTGTTTATATACTTCGCATAATATTGAGTTATAGATGATACTGCCTACTAGTGAGCTGGTGTGAAAATTCTTTTTTCTTTTTTCGTTTCTTGCTGTAAGTTGTGCATAAATGCAATTATGACAATGTCACCAGTGTGTAACCAGCAAAGAAAACCCAAGTGGGATTCACTTTCAATTTGCTGGTTCCTAGAATTTCTAAAAGTAGAATGGGAGGCAGATCATTTAGTTATCAGGCTCCTAATGTGTGGAGGAACCAACTACCAGTTTTAGTCCGTGATGCAAAAACCCTGACTACTTTAAGGGGAAATTCACTCTCTGCATTTGACCGAATCCCCTTGGGGACCAGTGGGTTGCCACCGTGTGGCGCCCGGGGAGCAGTGTGGGGTTAAGAGTTTTGCTCAGGAACCCTGAGTGGAGACTGTGGGGATCGTACTTGCAACCATCTCAAAGCACAATCGCACTGCTCTAACCACCAGGCCAACACTCCCTACAAAACGTTCCTTTTTGATAAGGCTCATAGATAAAGTGGCTCAGAGTATCTTGAGCCTTCTAGTTCTTCATTTCCTCTATTCTCCCATAATAACACTGTAATAACACTAAAATAACCTGTGTAATAATCCGGGCCTATAAGAGCCCTCACCTATTTCACTTATATTATTTATGTATTTTACAAACCAGAAAACACACTTTACCTGCCACCACTTTACCATTAATAAGATACTGTTTAAATGAGTCACCTTAAATCTCTCCTTCTTTATTTTTTACCATCCACTGCATATATCTGGATGCACTGTATATCCTTCATGCACCTTTTCCTCCTTTGTGCACCTTCTGTTGTTTATAAGAGTCGATGTCACAAGTGAATTTATCCATCAATAAAATTCTATTCTATTGTATACCCTTCTGTTCAATCTCTCTGCCTGCTCTTGTGTTTCTCATTCCGTCCTGCTCTCTGGATAATAAT